GCCACACCGCCTTCCACAATGGTTGCACCGTCTTACATTCCCACCAACAGTGAATAAGAGTTCCAGTTTCTCCACATCTCCTCGCCAGCATTTGTTGCTTGCTGTTCTGTTATATTTTGCTATTCTTACTGGGGTGAGATGATATCTCATAGTTGTTTTGTATCTGATGAATTTTAACAAAGGAAATCGTATGTCGGGCAAGCTTAGCTTGCCCCATTTGGGATGACTTTAGGTTTTAGGAAAGCCAATGGTTATCCTTTAGACTTTTTGGGTGTACTTCCCAAGGATTAAGTTTTCTCTCCTAAAACGATTTCCTGTTTAGATTTTAATGTTATTGATCTACAAAGCACCTAGGCTTTGAGAAAGCAAACCATTCCTTTTCATAGAAAAATAGGCTATTGATCAGTCTGGTTTTTCTTTGACGAATGCTTCCTTTCTCAACTGTGAGTGTTGGTGGGAGAAGTTGTATTTAGTGTGCCTGCATTCTCTGGCATCTCAGGAAATGCATTAATGACAAGGCTTTGTCTAGGTTAAGGTGCTCTGGTGGCACAGTCTGTAGGGAGCCGTGCTGCTAAAACAAAGGCCATACCCCTCTGACAGTTCAAATTCACCTGGAATTTCAAAGGAAAAAGATAGGCAATTTCTTCCTGTTTGCTTTACAGCCTCCAAAACCTTCTCAAAGGTCAGCTATGAGTTGGTTCTGACTAGTCAGTGATGAGGGTTTTTATTTTTTTAGTTTTTGTCTGTGCTAAGGGGCTCTGGTAACATTGTAGTTAAAGAACTCAGCTGCTAACTGTACAGTTGACTAACCTCTCTAGAGGGAGCTCTGGTGGCCTGGTGGCAAGAAGCTGTGATGCAGTCCTGAAGGCACACGGTTCGAGGCCACCAGCTGCTCTGCAGGAGGAGGATGGGCAATCTCCTCCCGTGCAATTAACTGCCTCTGAAAACCCTCCAGAGGGTCAGCTATGGGTTTGTTCTGACTCTATGGTACACAACAACAATGACAACCACAACCTCTCTTGGGAGAAAGAGGAGACAGTGTGTTTCTATAAAGATTATTATTGTTGTTGTGTACCATTGAGTCAAAACTGACCTATAGCAGACCCTCCAGAGGGTTTTCAGAGGCAGTAAATAACACAGGAGGAAATTGCCCATCCTTCTTCCATGGAGCAGCTGGTGGATTCGAACTGTGTACCTTCAGGATTGCAGGGCAGCTTCTTACCACTAGGACACCAGAGCGCCCTTCTGTAAAGATTACAGCCTTGGAACCCCTATAGATGAGCCCTACCCTATCCTAAAGTGTTGCTATGAATGACAATGACTCCACTATGCTGTTGCTGGAAGCCTTTAAGGTGCAGTCTCTAACAAAGGTGGTGCTGGAAGGTGTGAGACACCCCTCAAGACCACCGTGACAGGAGGAAGCAACACACTGTGGCTGTCACTGCTGGGATAAGAAATGCCCTAAAAATAAAAACAACCTCATCTGTTTCAGTGTAGTATACACAATTTATCCAGTTTTTCTCTGTCTTACCCCAACCCTGATACCAGTCCCATTTTACTGAAACAGATGAGGGAGCGAATAATTTAAAAGCGATGTATGATAGGGTATTATGGTTATCACAGGAGTCCACAATTAAGGTTGCATAGTGGAATGTACTCGGGGTGGCGAGAGGGGTGTGGGGGGATTGTGTCCCAGGGAAGGAGTCTTACTTTTGAAAGAGAGGAGCAAACTGGGGGGGGGTTGGGGTTGGGTGGGGAGAGAAGTGCAGCAATGAATGAATGGAAATCCAAAATCTCTGTAAATGCTCTTTAAAATTATTTTTAAAAAAGCTTAAGAAGAAAAAAAAAGTAAATAAAAACAACCCCAAAACTGAATCCACTGCTATTGAGTTGATTTCAGAGGTTTCCGAGACTGTAAATCCTTTTTTAAAAATTTTATTGTATTAATTTTAATGAACATTTACAGAGATTTTGGATTTCCATTCATTCATTGGTGCACTTTTCCCCTCTACTCCCTCCCTTCCCCCCTCCCCTGTTCATTCCTCTCTTCGAAAAGCAAAAGATAAACTTCTTCATTGGTATACAATCCTCCCACCCCCCACTGCCTCTAATGCACTCCACTATGCAACCTTAATTTTGTAAATCTTTCAGAGAGGAGATTGTCTCATCTCTCTCTCACAAGTGGATTTGAACCATCAAACTTTCATTTGGCAGCCCAATTTATAATGAATGCACTGTACCCTTGGGGCTCCTTAAGAAATACCTTATTCGTAGGCATTCTTTCTTATAAGGCTATAGAATCATTACATACCTTTTTTTTTTTAATGAGAGCAAACAGCCTTCTGTGATCAGCTGATAGGTTCAAACTAGAATCATTACCTGCTCTTAAAGCCATAGAAGACACATAGCCTTGTCTCTTATAAGGGACTAAGGTGTCTATTATGTTTCAGAGACTCATGGAAAATTGTATGAAGATGTTATATTTGTTTCATCTTGACAATATTTCCACCTAAGTGTAAAACCATTGTAAATGTCTCTGTTGTTTTGGTTGGGTTCCTCCCCCCTTCATTATTATTGAAAAAAAGAGCACTGGAGCATATCTATGTAGCAGAAAGCATCTTAATTAATCTTCATTTCCTTCTTCAGTCATGAACTCTTTCCCTTACTTTGCTTTTAGAACTAAAGCTTATTGTACCTGATACCTCCGGTTCTCTGGAACAAATTGAAATTTGCCTGGGGCCGTTTCCACAAGGTCGCCATATTCTGCAAACTTAAAAATAATTTAGAATGTTTACTTCTATTTTCTTTCTTTCCTTTTTTTTTTTAAAAGAGCTAGAGAAACAGAAGCAAAAATGTTCCTATTTTAAATAGCTAGTTGCAGTAGCTTCTATTTATACAATACCTTAAAAATGTATTGCTGTGTACTGGTTTTTGTTCAGAGGTAAGTGAATGGAAGTTAATGCCTCGAAATTTTCAAATATGTAAATGCATTACTGAGTGTTCTAGAAGACAGGTCAAAATAAAAATGACCACGTGATTAGGAATGTGCCTGAGGAAGTACATGGTAGATCTGTGGAATGTGATGATGTCTCACTCGGTAATTATGAGCCTAATGCCCTCCCTAATTGAAACCTATACATAGAGAAAGATTACCAGGAAAAAAGTGACTGAAAAAAGCACAAATGTATTTGAATATCTTGGCTTCAACTCCTGATTCTATGAAATTTTGTTGGTTTTGCGTTTATGAATTTTTATTTTATATTGGTTTGCTTACAAAGCTTACATATATTGTGTTTCACACTCTCCTATCCTTCATTCACATTAAGTTTCACACAATCATTCCCATTCATTATATTTTGTAACATTAATCAACATTGAACTATGCGCACCATTGTCCTGTCTTTCCAGATCTCTGCCAATTTTCCCCATTTCCTTCACTGGCCAGTGACACACTTGACTTTTCTGACATAAAAGTAGCTCTCGTAAGGCTTTCACTCGGCCCAAGATTTTTCTTACATAAAAATGAAGTCTGCCAGGGGTAGCTTGCCCTCTGCAAGTCGCTTACCATTTGCTTCTTTGACAGAAGTATTTAAAATATCTTAGTTATTAAAAAAAATCACTGCACATTTAGGTAGGAAAACAATGCTTTGATAATGAATTTTCTTAATTTCAAATATAAAAATGATAATGCATTTCATAATAGTAATGATAATATTAACATATATTAGTTATTAAATCCTTGCAAATGCTAGAGAGTTGGCATATATAATTTAATTCTCATAACAACTCCTGAGTTAAATCTACTATTTTTCATTTTTTAGAGAACTGAGACCATTGAAACTGTCTTAATTTTCATACAAAACTTATTAAACTTTAAAAGTCAAATACATTCTCTAGTAACTTGAACAATAGACACTTTCTAGAACAATTTTATAAATTTTAATTCCACACAGAATACTGTCATTGGATAGAAATATGCTATTTACTGAGCACAGATAGTCTTGCCAGCACCAAGGAGTCTTCTAGAAGTACTTACTTCAGGAAGTTCATTTGTGGGGATTTCCAAGCCGTGGGCCTCCGACAGAAACAACCAGAAGAGAAAGCACATGAGCTGTTTCATGTCGCTGGCAGCTTTGCCAGGTTTCTGAGAGCCTGGAGTCTGCAGAGGATTCTACTGTACTTACTCCTATTGAACTCAGTTCAAAGGAACACAGGGATGTGGAGCTGTTTTAAAAAATAAGGAAAAGAAGTACGAAACTCTCAAACTTTGCTCAAAAATTGGGACAAATATTTGTTCTGGAGCTCAAACTTGAGCTGTGGGGGTAGAACAGCCACACAGAGGTTATTTAAACAGCAGGGCCAGAGGTAGTCACTAGGTTGTGAGAACAAGTCACTCAGCTATGCATATAGTTCTGTGGGGTTTTTTGTTTGTTTTTTAAATCTCCTTTTGTTGATTTTTGTTCATCTAAAAAAAAATTAAAGAGACCTAAAGATTATCATCTTCCACTTTAAAGGATCAGGTGAGGAACGATATGGTGAGATAGAACCACAGAGCAAAGACTTAAGTGAAAAGTTTCTGGAAACTTGAGGGAAACCAAGAAATTTAGAAACACTATGAAAAGACAGACAATGGTTTTCTGAGCAAAGAATTTGTTGTGTTTTTCACTCTTCTAATACTTGCGTTTATTTTATATATTAAGCATTGTGCAAGATTCTGTGTGTATTATAAAGGCTGGCTCTTCAGGAAGAATACGTCATTAATGCTTTTGATTAGGTAACGGTGTGTTTACGCCTCCATCATAGCAAGTCTTGTTCAGGTTAGTGACAAATCAATTCTTTTCAGACATCAGTGAACACTCGGATTGGAAACACAGCATATTATGTTACTTCTCACTCATGGTCTATTTTTGTTTTTGTGTGTTATTGTGTTGGAACTGACTCATAGCTGACCCTCCTGCAGCTTTTCAGAAGCAGTAATTTACATGCTGGGAGATTGCCCATTCTTCTCCCACAGAGCACCTGGTGGATTTGAACCATGTGCCTTTGGGATTGCTTTTTACCAGAGCTCGTGGTCTAGTTGTAATGATGCTGACTAAGATCTATTGTGCCCCTTCTCATGTCAGATCTTTTACATTATCCTCTTTTACTTTTATAAGAATGCTAGGCAGTGTGTACATTATTGTCTTCTTTTTACAGTTAAGAGCAGAGCACTGGTAGCACATTTTTGTGGTAGACTTTTAACTGAAGGCCAGACTATTACATTTTATCCTGTAGCTCTGCAGGAGTAAGACCTAGCAATCTGCTTTTGTGAAGATTACAGACAAGAGAATCCAATTAGACTACTCTGTATTATTGTATGGGGTCACTGTGAGTTTAGTGAACTCAGCTTGATGGCATCTAACAACAACAGTTGAGAAAATGAAGATTTTTTTAAATTTTTTTTTTTTAGAAAATGAAGATTTATTAATATGAAAATTTATTCCACATCCCACAGTAAGTGGGAGTAGAATGGAAGATTTGACCTGACCTCATTTTTTCCCCTTTTTTGTTGGGTGCCATCGAGTTGCCATAGCAACAGCAGACCTGAACCCTGCCCTGTCCTGCGCCGTCCTCACCATCCCTGCTACACTTCGGCTCATTGCTCTATCTGCTGTGTCAGTCCATCCTGTAGTGATCCCCGCCTTATTGCTGTGGAGTTGGGATTGACTCATAGTTGACCCTCCAGTGGGTTTTCAGGGGCGATAAAATGCAGAGCAGGAGATTGTCCTCTTTCTCTCTTGGAGTAACTGGCCAATTTGAACCACTTTCCTTTGGATTGGCAGGCAGCACAATTCTCTGTCAAATAGGTCTCCCGAGCCCATGTAGACTCCACATAGAATTGAATTGCCCCATAAGATTCCCAGGACTATAAAGTCACAAAATCAGACTCTCACATGTTTCTACCATGGCTTGGTGGGTTTGAACCATTAATCTTTCCGTTAGCAGTTGAGCATGTTAAGCACTATGCCACAGGACTTCGCTAAGTAATCACACCCTATTCCTCCCAAACCAAATCAAAACAGTCGCAACCCAAATACTATGGCAGTTAAGAAGATCCTTTATTCTTGGCACCTTCTATGAAGTCTCTGAGGTAGTAAATTTTTACAGGAGGATACTGCCCATCTTTAGCCAGTGGAGTGGCTGGTAGATTCAAACTGCAGTCTTGAGGTTGACAGCCCAGCAGGTAACACATTATGCCACCAGGGCTCTTTTTAGTAAATATGGCAGAATGAAAGCTAGTGTGGGCATGCATTTGTAGCTACTGAAAAAAACAGATTAGCAAATGGCCAAGAAAATTTAGTGATTGAAATGTTAATGGTGGTTCTTTCTAGTTGATAAGTTAATGGATGATTATTGTTTTCTTCTTCAGAGTTGTAGTTTAGGCATTGGGTTTGGTAGTCTGTCTTCTAAGTTCAGAAATCTTTATTTCTCCACTGGCTGATGAGAACTTCAGTGGTTTACTTAACTCTTTCACCCTTATTTGTGAAATCAGAAGGAACTGTCCCTCTTCTCCTGGAATGTTCTTGTCAGTCTTAAATACGGTGTTTAATGCATGTTAACTACATCTGTAAATTACTTTCCGCCCTTTTTTATTACATATTTTTATTGGTTTGCATATTCTGGCATTGATTTCTTGCATTTACGTTGTGTTTATACAACCTTTCATTTACATTGCATTAAGTTCATGTATATTGTGACTTTCCCCTGTTACAATATAAATTACTTTTACCATTAGAGAAAAGGTTCTATTTTACAAGAAATTAAAGACACATAAGGGTTGAGTTCATTACTTATTGTGATATTGATCTATAATGTTACTTAGTTTCATTGTAAGAAAAGCTTTTCTGTTTTTCAGATCTTTTTTTTTTATTTTGAAATTTTATTTTTTACTGGTTGGGGTTCTCTCCGCCCCTTACTGGTTTATTTACAAAACTTGAATACAAATTTGAACAAATTCTTTCAATTTCCCATCAAAATTGTACAACCCAATGTTTAATCCCCCCTCCCCTTGCACATCCACATACATCCCTCTGCTTCCAGCCTCTCCCACCCCTCCTAGATCCTAATACTCATTCTACAATAATGGTTTTATATAATATTTATCATTGTGGGACTGAGTTAGTTTACTGAGCATTATGCTCTCCAGTCCCTCCCAAGTTAGGTAATAATTTACAAAGTTATTGTGCCTGCATGCTGCATAGTATTCCATTGTGTGAAGGTACCATAATTTTTTAATGCATTCGTTTGTGGTTGGACATTTGTGCTGTTTCCATTCTTGAGATGGTGAATAATGCTGCTATGAACATTGGTGTACAAATCTCAGTGTGTGCCTCAGTTCTCATATTCTCAGGGTATATTCTAAGAAGTATAATAGCTAGCTGGGTCATATGGAATTTCTATGTTCAGCTTTTTGAGGAAGTGCCAAACTGCCTTCCAGAATGGTTGCACCATTTTACAATCCCACCAACAATGTATAAGAGTTCCTTTCTCGCCACATCTTCTCCAACATCTATTACTTGCTGCGCTGTTAAACTTTGCCACTCTTACTGGAGTGAGATGGTACCTCATTGTGATATTGATTTGCATCTCTCTTATTGACAGTGATTTGGAGCATTTCTTCATGTATCTGTTTGCCATTTGAGTATCTTCCTCTGTGAAAATACTTTCCATGTCTTTTGCCCATTTTGCAATTTGGTTATCAGTCTTTTTCTTGTGTAGGCCCAGGAATATTCTGTAAACTTTTGTTATAAGACTCTTGCCTGAGATGGTATTATCAAATGTTTGTTCCCAATCTGTAGGTTTTCTTTTCACCTTGCTGGAAAAAGTTTTTGATGTCCACAGGGATTTAATCTTTAGAAGGTCCCATGCATCAATTTTGTCCTCTTTAGATTATGAATTTCTGGTTTTATTTGGCAGTCTCTTTATACCTTGGACTAGTGCTACTAAGCTTGATCCCAGTTTGTCTCTTAAGGATGTTATGGTTTTGGGCTTTACTCCCAGGTCTCTAAACCACCTTGAGTTAATTTTTGTGTATGGTATGAGATATGGATCCTGTTTCAGCTTTCTGCAGGTAGCAGACCAGTTTTGCCAGCACCATTTGTTGAAGAGGTTACCATTTCCCCATTTAATAGCTTTGATTTTCTTGCCGAATATCAGTTGACCTACTGACACACTTTCTTGCACCTTGTAGAACATAAATAAATGTGTGCTATATGATTCAGTAGCTCTTCTGGGTAAATGATTTTGTCTTGTTTTTCTACTGAAAAGCTCAATTCTTTTAATAGAATATATCTTAGGTTTTATAATTTGTTTGCCATTAAATGATCCCCGTAGGACTAAAACGTGTCTTTCTACTATCCAGAATTTTATATCATACCTAATTATGGTAATTTTCTATGTAAAAAATATGAAGTGCCACCTTTTATGTAGAAATATAATACAGAAGACAAGTATCTTGTCCAGGCTAGAGTACCTGGCACAACCTTGTCTATCTTGGAGTTCTCTGCTGCATTTAGTATCACTCTCAGCACAGTAAGCTGGCAGATTGGAAGAGGATATTCAACTGAGCCACTTCAATTTGGGGGCTCTGGTAGGACAGCTGCTCACCAGTGGGCAGTTCAACCCCCCCCCCCAGACAACTTACATTAAGATTTACAACCCTGGAAAGCCTATGAAGCAACTCTGTTTTATCCTTCAGATTTACTCTGAGTTGGAATGGACTGATGGCAGTGGTGGATGTTTCCCCCCTTTTATTCTTAGTATGCTTGAAATTTTGATGGCATGGATTTTAGAGGAAAGTAAGCAGATCAGTATTAATTTAAGTACCTATTTAGTTTCAAATAGCTTCAGAGAAAATGAAAACATAATGCCTAGCATTATGACAGATGACTACAGCCTCACTGTGCTATCTCCTCTCAGAACTCTGAGCCCACCATCCCCCCCCACCCCCCGGGGCTGCGTGGACACACAGTCTGAGAGAATGAGAGCCAGTGAAATTCACAGCAGGTAATCTACCTTGTTAAAGATGGGCTAGCTAACTTTATGGGCTTGAAACGAGGGTTTGGATAAGATTTGTCTATA